ACTCAGGCCCAGTCACCAGGTTTTCTGAGTATAGGTGTGGGGATGCTCACTTCACAAAGGCACCAGTGTCTTGGCAGAAGACTGTGCCAATCTAGGAAAAGATACCTTTTTAATTAATTTTTTTAAATTTTGTTTTACTATTTTGTGTGTCTGTACCATCAAATCAGATCTGGCTGGTACAGGAGGAGACTGTCTCTCCTCCAGGAGAGCTTCTAGAGGATTTGAACCATGCACCTCTGAGATTGCAGTGCAGCTTCTTGCCACTAGGCCACCAGAGCTCCATAAAGATACCTTTTTATTTTCTTTTTAATTTTTTATTTTAATTTTATACTTGGTTTACTTGAAAAGTTTGTATACATTGTTTTTTTCACACCAGATCTTTCCCATTTCCTTCACCTAATTAATCCTCCCTCTGAAAGGATGAAAGTTATATAGGTGTCCAGATCTTTCGCTCATAGGGTCGCTATGAGTAGCACTTAACAACAACAGCAGCATAGAGAGAGATCAGTTGTCCCAGTGGACAGAAAGTCATGCTCCCAAGCCAAAGGTGGGTGACTCTACTCCGTGGCCCTCAGGCCTGCCTTTACTTGTTTTTGATGAAATATTCTTCTAGGTTATATAACCCTGCTATGCCCACTTGCTGTACAGAGGTAACTTGTGGTTGCTGTGAAGCTGAACACTGTGACACTGATGAGTCAAATGCGAGAATGGTTAATCATAGTGGACAGTGCTAGGTGGAGCTCTTTGATTAAAACAAGCTTGGAGGCAGGAGTGGCATCCACTTCCATTATAGCTTGCCTCTGGAAACCCTATGAACCTGGAGAAAGAACACAAGTTATACAGGTGTCCAGGTCTTTTGTTCATAGGGTCGCTATGAGCCACTTGACGGCACTTAACAACAACAATCCTCTTTCTACCCATCAAATTCTGCGACCCTATGATTAACCCCCTTCCCATCCTCACCCCTCAGTTCCTCCCCTTCTCCTTAGATCCTCATACACGTTTTACAAGTTATCTATATCTACAATAATGGTCTTAAACAGTATATGTTCTTATGGGACTGAGTTCGTTCACCTAGCATAATGTTCTCCAGTCCCTCCCAAGTTAGGTAGTGATTTTCAAAATCATTGCTCCTGTGTGCTGCATAGTATTCTATCTTTTCAAAATCATTGCTCCTGCGTGCTGCATAGTATTCTATCATGTGAATGTACCATAACTTCTCAGTCCATTGTGGTTGAACATCTGGATTGTTTCCATGTTCTTGCGATGGTGAATAATGCTCCTACAAACATTGGTGTACAAAGCTCTGTTTGTGCCTCAGTTCTAATTTTCTCAGGGTATATTCCAAGCAGTGGAATAGCTGGGTCATGTGAAATGTCTATGTGCTGCTTTTTTGAAGAAACACCAAACTGCCTTCCAGAGTGGTTGTACCATTTTACAGTCCCACCAGCTATGCATGAGAGTTCCTCTCTCTCCACATCCTCTCCAACACTTATTACTTGCTGTCCTCATAGCACCTTTTAAAAAATCACACAGAGAAAGGTTCAGCGTGGACTCATAGCAACCCTGTGAGCAATTGATCTGAGCCCTGACCTATCCTCTTTAGCTTATGGGTCTTTTTCCATTCAGGGTCAAATCTACTATAGCCAATCATCCTTCTAACAAATTTACTCTGAGGTTGGTGAGTTATTTTGTGGTCCCAGCTCCTGCACCAGGCTGGAGAAGCTCCAGTACCAGGCTGGAGACGCTCCAGTGCCTAGCAGATGCTGCCTTCACCTTCTTTCCCAGGTCTTTTTGAGATCAAAGCTCACGCTCAGCCCAGGGAACCGGGTAATCCTCTCAAATGCCCAAACCCATTCGTTTCCAGTTAAAACTGGAGAAACCTGCACTAAACTGATGACTAGCCTCCTTACACAGGTAGAGGGTGCTTCAGTGGCCTACTCGTGGGGTGGCGAGCAGCTAACCCATAGGCCGCAATTCTTGGCAGTTCAAATATGCCAGCAGTTCTGTAGGAGAAAGATTAGGAATCTCCAGTGTGATTGACAACTCCTGAAAACCCACTGACAGGTCAGCTATGAATCAGTTCCAAATCTATGGTAATGAGTTTGAGAGGGTTTTTGTGTAGAGGAAGTGGAAGTAAACCATTGACCTTGAGTAGATAAGCACTGGCCATACTTCTGCTCACATAATGCCAGTGAACCTCAGTGTCCTTATCTTGAATATGGGGATACTGTACCCACCTTATAAGAGTGAGGTAAGGATCAACGAGCACCTACTCAGGGAATTTGCTGCTGAGGTCAGTAGGTTTGGGAGGAGCTGCCTGGCTTGATCTCAAATCTCACTCGTGTTCCACTCTTTCTTCAGGACTTCTCTGCCCCACCCAGGTACCAGTCAAGAGCCAGTCCTTGGTCTTTCCTCCAAAAAAGCAGCAAGATGGGAGGGAGGTGGTTCGGTGAAGTGTCCTGGAAGAGGGGAAGGGGAAGAGAATGAAGTGGTCGGAATTTGAAATGGGTAGACAAGGTTGAATGAGAAGATTCCAACTGTCCTAAAGGGCTTCTCAGAGGTGACTCCAGGATGTATCCCTGATGTTCAGAGGTCTGAGGTGCCCAGCAAAAGAACACAGGTGTGTGGCAGTGAAGGGATGCCTTCTGGGACCCAACTCCAGCCTACATCTACCATCTGACTTTGGTCAGTGGAAAGACTCAGTTCCACCTTCACCCTGGTCTCTGCAAATAAATAAATAGCAGCCTCTTCCCTTTATCTTCCCAGGTTGTGACTGGGACAGTCAGTGCCATTAAATTCTTCCTCTCTGAGGCCTTCCTGGGTAAGCACTTTGAGGATGTTAAGTTGGAAGGCAGTGAGCCAGCGCCTGGAGACCTCTTCCTGTTCTGGCTGATGTCCCAACGTTGGTGTTGAGGCTCCCGTGGGTATCTACTATAGCCATGGAGACATCACCCACTTCCAGGGTGAGCACTCCCAGTTAGGATCCAAGGTCCAGAAAGCAATGACCCACTGCCCAGCCAAGCCACACACATGTACACACACACTCACTGGATGGGCCATGTGAAGGTGGAGACTTTGGTGCTGGGCTGAGGGCATCTGAAGATCAGAGACTGAACACATAATGTATGGGGCTCAGAGCCTCTAGGTTCCAGGAAGTGGGGTTGCAAGATCTTGACCATGAGTCCTGGATCTGGAGTACTGGGACTAAGCCTGATTCTGATGCACATTTATCTGTTGATCTCTCAGGCAAGAATGTTGGAAACTATGGCCTCCTCAAGTTTCTAGGCTCCTGGAAAGGTGTTGTGTCCAAACAAGGGCAGCACCCACTGTTGCACTCTTGGTCGTTCTGGTGGGTGATGCATAGATGGGGAGGTGTGGATCATGCATTGTATAGGTGCATGTGCAAAGCCCATGGATGCAGACCCACATCTCTAACATCCCATGCACAGTAACTGCGTTCATTTCACACTGGTTGAGTCCTGACCTGGAATCCCATCCCAATGGTTCGGGGAGCACAGCCCTGTTACTAAAGCAGGACCCCAACCCTCTCCCTGAGCCAACTAATAAACGCACCTCCACAAGATACAGGCCCTCTCCATCCTTATCCAGACCACAGTCCTTCAAACTCAACATCTGCTTTACCCTGGCAGGCCCAGAGCCCTCACAACCAAATAGACACACCTACTTACTTGTTTGAAACCCTTAAGAGGGAGCCCACTCTAAGAAGGTGCTCACAAATCCAGGTCACACCTGCGCTCCCATCCTGGTCTGTCAACTTCACATTCTCCTCATCCTGCTGGACCTGCCCACTTCCGGCCTGGCCCTTCAGTTTTGGGATCCTATTTCACCATTTACGTTCAGTTCAGTGGTCCAGGTTGTCTTTTCCTGGGGTCCTCTCGGTTTCGGGAGCTGAGATGGAGGCCTCATAGGACTGGGGAGGTATGGCAGTTGCACCATAACTCAACCCTCTCTTCTTCCTTTCTTACCCAGGTGTCTGTGGACTTGACCTTGGACTAGGCGTGGACCTCAGGCCCTTCTAAACAGGCGTGAGGGATTAAAAAACAAAAATAAAACAAATGCAATGTATTGTTGTGCAGTCGGAATCCACTCACAACTGACCCTGTAGCGGGTTTTCAAAGGCACTGGACAAGATTGCCGATCTTTTCCCTCCTCCGCGGAGCAGCAAGTGGATTTGAACTGCTTGTCTTTGGGGTGGGAGTGCCAACTCCTTACCCACTGAGGTTACCAGAGCTCCCTGAGTGCTTCAAAAGTGACCATTAAATTGTTCTCCAAAATTGCATTCCGAGTTCATATTCTTCTCCACTCGTCTCTTCGTCTCCAGCCCGCTATCGGCTTTTTGCTGCTGCTTTAACACCAACCCCCTTTTCTCAAATTCTACTACCTCCAGGAAGCCTCTTAGATCCCCGCTGGGAAACTAGAATTCACATTTCAAAGTAAAAGTGGGGGCGGAGAGAGGGAGCACCCTTATGTCTCAGTGTTCCAGTGCCACCTTCCCGCCCTCAAACCTGCCAGCACGCCAGCAAGGCCTTCCCCTTCAGCTTTGCTTCTCCACACGCGTGGGTGGACACACGCACACTTGTCTGAGATGAACCGAACCCCCTAGAGCTCGCCCAGCTTTGACAGACCCAGGTAATGAAAGGAGAGGGTGGCCAGACGATCTGCATCCTCCTAAAGGGTGGAGGTTCACAGTGTCCAGCTGCCCCCGGAACTAGCTTCTTCCAATCCTGCAGTCGGGAGGATGGTGGGCTCAGCCCGATGCCCCGCCCCTCGCGGATCCCTCTGTAGACACGCCCTCCGCGCTGCGGGCGCCGGTGCCTTTAAGAAGCTCAGCGCGGGTCTGATTGATAAATCCGCGCGCCGCCTCCGCCCCCGCGGATTGCGGCTGCTGCAGAGCTCCGGCCGCGCCGCCTTTCCCAGCCGCAGCCGAGCCCCGGCCGTGCAGCCTCCGCGCCGAGAAGCCCTCTCCCGGCCACTCCATGTCGGCCGCCCCCGCCTACAGCGAAGACAAGGGCGGCTCTGCCGGCCCCGGGGAGCCTGAGTACGGCCACGATCCGGCGAGCGGCGGCATCTTTTCCTCCGACTATAAGCGGTGAGGGAGCTCTCCGGGAGGGCCCCGGCCTGCACGCCGGCGCCCGGGCCCGGCTTCGGTGGGTCGGCACCGGCACCATGGACAGCGCCCGGACCCCGCCCGCTGCGGCCCAGCCCCGGCCCCGCCCCGGCCGCGAGGCCCGGAAGCCCGCCCAGCCCCCTCCCACGCTGGCCCGGCGGGGGGGGGAGGGGCGCGACTCCCCTTTGCCCATTTTTCCCATGCACCCCATTCTCGCACATCAACTTCCCTTCTTGGAGGGACACACTTGGAACATGGGAAGGGGGGACGGTTGGAACTAATGGGAAGTGGGTCAGACTCACTGTTTTGGCACCAGCCACCCTAGCGGATATTTGCCGTGTTTGTCGGCTTTGGTCACTGGATCACCACCAGTTTTTGAGCAGGCCTTATTGGTTCCAAAACAATGTGGAAGAGGGTCGTAGTGGGCGAGCTTGAGTGGGGTCCATCCAGGAAGCGTCCCTAGACCCAGACCCTTCCTGGCCTGAGCCACTTAAAAATTCATTTTCCTTTTCTCTTCCCTGCTTCCCATCTGTCACCCCCTTTCCTCACTTTCTCTCCGCAGATCCTTAACTCAGCTTCCAACTCTAAACTCTCCACTTTAGAGTCTCATTTGTTCTTTGATTCATTTGTTCTCAATTCCAGAACTTAAATTTTGGGGTTTTATTGTTGTTGGGTTTTGTCTTTTAAAGGCCTCCTGTGCCAACTCTAAAGATTTGTAGGTGAAAATGATTTGTAATCAACTACTAAACCAAAGGTTGACTCAACCAGGGCACCACGAAAGAACACATGGGTTGCCATGAGTCAGAATTGCCTGGGCAGCAATAGGTTTATTTTTTTTTTTAATCCAAGACATAATCCTTATCTTCAAGTTGCTTTTCTAAAGGGGGGCACAGATAAAGAAACCACACACACACACACACACACACTGATGGTGGAGTTGATTCTGACTCACAGTGACTCTGTTGAACAGTAGAATTCTACAGGTTTCCAAGGCTGTAAATCTTTGCAGGAGAAGACTGCTTCATTCTTCTGTGGGTTTGAACTGTTCACCTTTCAACTAACAATGAAGTACTTTAACCACAGCACCATCAGAGCTCGCTGAGTAAATTTAATAATTCTTTGTAAAGGGTGGCAGTGAGGATTAAAGTGTGAGGAGCTACCCTTTTATTCTAGAATGAGAGATGTTCTAAACATTAGAAAGAGCTGGTAGAAAGGGTGGGGACATGCTAAAGTGAGAGAGCTGGAATCATGAAGGATTCTAAACAAGTGATACCGTCAGGTTTGTATTTTAGAAAGATGACTGTTGGATTATGAAGAAATGGGAGGTAAGCTGGACTGAAGGGCAGAGATAAACTAGGGGTGTGTTGAAGTTGACAGTTGGGACATAATGATGCCCTTGACTAGAGGAATGATAGATAATTCGAGGGCCTCTTTGAAGGTAGAAGGTACAGACCTCAGAATAAGGGGAGGAGGTTAGGGGACATAGGGTAATACTCAGGTTACTAGTGCAGTCAACTGGATACATGATGGTGGTATTCATTGTAACCAGAAATAAAAATGTTGCAAATAAATTTGGGAAATAATACTGAGTCCAGCTTTGAGTGTGCTGAAATTGTAGGCTCTGTGGGAAATCCAAGCGGTGAGCTATTAGGATTTGGATTCTAAGAGAGAATGAGCAATTGTTAACATTCAGAATGTTAACATTCAAAGCCAAGAAAGGAAATAAAGATCAACCAGGAATTGTGTATAAAATTAGTTCAGACAAGGCTCAGGTCTGAGCATTGAGGATTCCAACATTAGGGGGGAAAAAACAGAAAATGGAGCAGAAGGACAGATCTTTCAAAAGAATGGAGAAGTGGATCAAAGGCACTCACTCACACATTGGTGTCAAGTTGGAACTGGAACCATGTCATAGCTGACCCTTCGGCCAGTCTCAGGTCTCAGAGTCTGTAAATCACACTGGAGGCACTTGCTCGTTTTCCCCCACCTTCTACCCCTGCACGTCTCCCCAAGCTCCTAATAGACTGGCACCCCCAGAGAAGCATAGCCTTTGGCTTAGAGCTTGCTTCCTATAGACTATGCCGCTGGAGCTAAGAAGGTAGGGAGAGAATAAAATGTGGTTTCGAGAAGGAGGAAGTCATCAGTAATGTCATTGCTTGATGAGGTGAAGTGAAACAAGGGAAGCAATTCTGATAAGGAGGAAGTTGCCTTCTTCTCCCTATAATTCCCATTGTCTGCTTTGGGAGACCAATTCCAGTGAAGTAAGGAGCTGGGTTCTTTTCCCTGTTGCTATTCCATTCTGTTAAGAACAATTTTAAGCTTATAGAAAAGTTGAGGCGAGCTCTGGTGGCCTAGTGGTAGGAAACTGCACTGCAATCCCAGAGGAGCACGGTTCAAATCCACCAGATGCTCTGCTGAAGAAGGAGGAACAATCGCCTCCTGTACCAGTCAGATCCAATTTGACGGTACAGACATAAAAAGAATAAATAAATAAATAAAAATGATCTTAAAAAAATTTAAAAAAAAGACACTGCTCACATGTAACCTCCTCAAGAAACCTTCCCTAAGCCCACCCCGCAAAAAGACCGACAAGTCCAGACCTGCCTAAGGTTCTTCAGAGGTAGGTGGTGACCAAGAGCTCCTGGAAGGGAGAGTCTAGGAGGATGAAAGAGCGGGATCCAGAAACAACACAGAGAAACATGAAATCAACAATGCCTCCTTGGCTTGAGCAGATAAAATTAGAATTGAGGAACAGCCATCGTGACCAGAGATATGTCAGTGCAGGGATAAGTGCAAAAGATGCCCCCACCCCGCATCACCCCTGGTCTGGGCTTTTCTGTTTCCTGTCCTGTGGGTTCAAGCACAGCATGTGAGCGTGGAGCTTTTCCCTTCCATTGTACATACAAGTTGGAAGCGACTTGACAGCATCTAGTAACAACCACCAGAATTTAAGCTTCCAGAAGCAGATTATGCTCTCACTTTACATCTTCTCATAGCTTATTCTAGAACTATGTTCCAGGCTGGTCTTGGAGGCTAGTGGATCCAAGCTGAGGCTTGAAGCGGGGAGGCTGTGGCTGCCCATGCACTTTGTGTCCACAAGAGGGCATCACCACACTCCTGCAGGCTTGCTCTGGGAGGGGAAACAGAACTGACAGCCGGAGGGAGAGAGACTAAGTCAGCTGAGGTCCCCACCGCTGTAGAGGGCAAGTGCACACTCAGAGGCTGATGAGCTTGCTACGGCTGGCCAACCAACACAAAGACTCACATTGCACATCACTACACAGCCACAGCCCTCAGCCCTTTTGTGGAAAATCAAATGCGCGCACACACAACTGCACTCCCTTTCCCTCTCCGTCTTTGTTCCCTTGACAGCATCTCACACCATCCTCTAAGTTCCAGTACAGAAATCCAGATTTTTCACAGTAAAAGGAAGAGGCAGAAATGTCCAGTAGCTCAACTCCCCTCAAGCATACACAGAAGACCTTAGGTGAAATATTTAAGGAAACATACATACAGGACACCCCTGGACTCTGAGCCCTCTGCCTGGGCTGTCCTTCTCCATGTCTCCCTCCTCTCACCCATCACCCTTCACTTGTTTTTTGTTATGATGATATGGTTTCTGACTTTCTCTATGTCTCTTTCTGAACTCTGATTCATTTGTTGTACACAGGGTGGAATGACTCATGGTTTTCAGTTCTCATGGAATTAAATTATCTTCTGGAATCCTTGTACAGCCCAGGGAAATATACAGTTATGAGAAAATGCACTCCCATATGACAAATGAGGAAACTGAGGAACTAAGAACGAATAGTAGGATTGAGACTAGAACTAGGCCATTTGTGTCCAAATTCCTTCTTTATTCATCCTTCCATTCATTCATCAAAAATTCCCTGAGTGCCTATGTGCTCAGGACTCCCAGGAGAACAGATGACAAGCCAGGCCCTGCCTTCATGGAGCTTGCTGTCTAATGGGAGAGACAGACAACAATTTTTAAAATTACAAAAATAAATACTCACATTACAACTATGATAATGTGTTGTGAAAGAAATCATAGGTATCCATGGGGAAGAATGACAAGGGAACCTGGCCCAGACCAGGCATCCAAGGAAAGTTTGACTGAGGAGTGATGTTTGAATTTCAGTCTAAAGAATAAAAATAAATAATCAGGTAAAGGAGCTCTGGTGGCCTAGTGGCAAGAAGCTGTGCTGCAATCCCAAAGGCATGTGGTACGAGGTCACCAGCCACTCCACAGGAGAAGGATGGGCAATCTTCTCCTGTGCAATTAACTGCCTCTAAAAATCCACTAGAGGGTCAGCTATGGTTTGGTTCTGACTCTGTATTACACAACAACAACAATCAGGTACAGGTCTTTGTGTGTGTGTGCTCTAGGAAGGGAGTATTCCAAGCAGAAGAAACAGAGTCTGTGCAAAGGCCCTGAGGTGAGAGAACCGAGAGACGGTTGTTGTGTATGGAGAAATGGCCGAGAGAGTGCTGGCCAGTTAAGCAGAAACTAGGCCACACAGGATCTCAAAGGTCACGGTAAGGACTGCGGTGCAAGGAGAATGCAAGACAACCTGAGATAGTACACTGAGCAGTGAGATCTATGTTCTAAAAGATCATCCTGGGTGCAGAATGAAGAGTGGACTAGAAGATCCAGAGAGGCTGTGAGGAAATCTATTGAGAGGCTACTGCAGTGGTCCAGGGACAATGGGGTGGCTTGAAAGAGGGTGGCTGAGTGAGAGGAGGAGAGGCGAGTATACTGCAGAGATAGCGAGGAGACAAGATGGACAGATCCTGTAAAGGGTGGGGGAGATGGATTGTCACAAATGGTGTCTGGTGTGCACAGTCAGGTGGAAGGCTGAGGGGTCAGCAGATCTGGCACACAAGGGAAGGATTTGTTTGGAAGCTAAGATGATGAATATGGCTTTGCATATATTGGTTTTGAAGCATCTTGAGATATCCAAGTGAAGATGTTAAATGGG